TAATCTTCCTAGTTTTCTCACAAGGAACAGCATGATGGTCAGTCCGCCTTGTGAAATCAGTCGAATAGGTTTCCCGATGGTCATGGGTACATAGAGTAATGCATAAGCCGTTGCTACGATCAAATATAACAGGATCATGATCAGAAAGAGGGCTCTTGCCAGGCCAACATTCGGGGTTTAATAACGCTTGTGCACAAAACCAACAATCTAAGTTTTCACAGAAGTGTGCGCGGAAAGTTGTGGTCATGGAGAGCAAGATGTCCTCCGCTGTTCCACTTGACCATGACCATGTGATCGTGCAATGTCGAGTGTGTCGGAAATTTGACTAGGTAAGGGGTTGTGGAGGCCTTATGGAGTTGGCAATGCGCAAATTTCGAAAGTCAGGTTAGGTGTCGTAGAAATACTTATCCCTTTGCTAGTGCATGATGTCTGCATGCCTTCGATGGTGTAGCAGCGCTGAGGTTGAGGACGGAAAGGAGCATTAGATAGAAAAGAAACCATTTCGCGGTGTTATTGTATCCCGCTCGTACTGTAGACACGATAGATTGAGGAGGTCTGGTAGGGCGAGGTCGTAAGTTATATCGCTGTGGCTGTTTGGAGGAACGGGCTTCTCCTTCCGTCATGCTTGGCATGTTGCTGCAATCTTGGTCTTTCGTGTCGTGGATCTCGAGAGGAATCAACAGATTCACTGGACGATGGATTTTCCTTCTTGTAGCGGTAATGAGCTCAACTTCTCGAACACTGCCATCGCTTCCTTTTCGAACGTCTGTGATCCGAGCCATTCTCCAACTATTACGCGGAAGTACAGGATCACTTACTAATACGACATCTCCGGTCGATGGAGTAGATTGTCCGTGGCGTTTATTGGTGATGTTCTTAGCATGGGTTTCTCGTAGGCTAGATAGGTATTGATCATGCCAAATCTTCCAAAACTTTTCTGTAGCCTGACAGGAGGATTGAAGGGCGTCTAATACCTCGTTTCGGGTTTGTAGGGTCCTCTCTTCTCCTGGAGGGTGATATTCTAAGTCGTCTTTGTCTGGGTGGGTCACTGCTAGTGGTAGCGTCCTTTCAAAGTC